GAGGGGAAACAGTCGAGGCCGGTACAAGCGGTGGTATACGCAGTATTATCTCTGTTGTGGACGAAACGTCCGACGCCGTCCGGTACGCGCGGAGTAAATGTAATAAAAAAAACGTTTGAAAAAATTGTTGGAATCGAACGCGGTCACATTTGGACCATTCCGCGTCGGCTTTACGGTCGATCGTTGCTATGCAAGTCGCGATTGGTGGTCGCATCGACATCGCTTCGTTGTCGGACGGTTGTCGATCGTAGAACTTATGTAGTGGTCTTGAGCAGAGCCCGCAGAGAGTGAGGCCTGCAGATCCCGTACTTTGAAGTACACGAGACTCGTCTCCATCACAGTCCGTATACCGCACAGTCGAACGGATACCATATACCGAGGCGTATCACGTGCTCACTAATGTGGTTGAACGACTTCGCCGAAATGCCCGGCACGAGTGGAAGACGGAAAATAATCGAGCATAATGATAAAATATTGTTATCCTAGCAACTCGTACGATTATTTGAACACGCTGATGCGTCCCATACGTCGTGTCGGACGCCGTATTATTGTTTTTTAATTTGGTTTTTATTTTTTTTTTTGTAACCTATAGCGGCTATTGCTTAATAAATTATGTTGAAGAAATATTTCGTTGGGGAGAGGATACGACCGGTCCTCGGTCGAGCCTACGGACACTAATTGTTTAAAGGAGGAAAACCAAAAACTATGTATACAATATACACGCATTGCACTGCCTCTGCCGCGGTAGAAAACTGTTATTTAGGACGATTCGGAATGCACTACGACGTTGATTCTGCTTATTTACGAACGCATTATGATGTTTTTAATAATGTAATATGTGTAGCTGAATGCAACGATTCGAATTAAATCGTTTAATTATACCACAAACCGGTTGGTCGAGTAAGTGTATTAATATTATACCGTTGTACACGATTATACAATTTATTCATATTTGTAGGTGCCATTTTTTCTTTCGTTTTGTATCAAATACTTTATTATACAGTTTAATATAACAACTAACTGACAGTATAACTATAGTACAAGTATACCAATAGCCAACTTTAATAATTATTATATTATATCGATTGTACCTAGATACGTGCTGTAAACAGTGCACAACCATTTATTTCTTAAATGTTTAAATGTTTTAACGACGAACACTATATATAAAATTATAAAATTATTCAGTATGAAAACGGTTTAAAAGGTCTGAGAGGTGAATTAATAATACTAGACGCTTGTAACCAGGTGGTTGATAAATAATTAAGATCTTAGTGTCTTTGGCAATTGGCAAAGCATTTGCTTAATCGACGAGCCATTGCATAAATTTCTTTTCAAAATCAGAAAGCGCCCGTTTAGTGACGAACACTTGACGTAATGTCAATGTAACAATAATAGGCTCAGGATTATTAATTTTATCGTTCGAGTTCCGTCGAAAAATATGATAAATAACGCGATAACAACGCCGATGTGTCGTTCGACCACCGCTATCTCGATTCGGAGGTACTCGACGGTCGACGAGTAAACCAAACGTGTGATACCATTGGACCTAATAAAATCTACCACAATAGAAAGTATGTGTATATTATTATTATTGTAAAAAACCGACGTTGATACCATTGCCACGCCGCCACCGATCTTATAATACTATGAAGGTGTGCCATTACACACATGCACCGATGCACTTATATGACGTAGGTAGGCATATTTAGATGCGTCGAGTGGATCGCCCGCTGCAGGTAAAATATTATATGAAACCCTAAGCGTCGGCGCAGCAGGCCTACACCGCGGACGAAAATAATATTGTTTAAGCCTCGTCGTAATATTTTTCTTTATCTGTACTGCAACGACGGCGACCACGAGTCGACGAACCACTGCACGTGTGTTAATAGATTCTTTTATTATAATTTATAACGCTGCGCCTATATTATAACGTTCGTCTCTTTCATCCCACGAGTTAGGTGGTACCGATAATAAAAGTTATAAAAATAATTGTCGTAATAACAACAATAATAGTATGACAACAACAACGACGACGACACTACAACCGAATTATATTATGTGTAGCGACACTCTGTGCCTCTATGGCCGATGCGTGTCGTAATTCGTCTGGCGCGCATTCGTCCGGCGGGGGAGGCTCGGGCAACTCACTACGATGTATTTTCGTGATAATAATATTTTAATATTATTATGCGACGCAGCGAGACGAGTTCCAAGTTTGGACGTCTCCTATTGGCGGGCGGTCGTCGGGAATGACGAGCGAAACGACGAAATAATACAATTGTTTGATCCGGCTGCAGTATATGCGCACCGACAAGCCGACGACCCGGGCACCCCATCGCCTCCGTACGGGACGCCCCCTAAAACCGACGACCCACGGTGGGGTCTAACGGGCGAGGGGTCGTTTTCCCGATTCGAGTATCCCTCTAAAATGTTCAAACTCCGCGATTGCGCCCCGTACCTATGTAAGCAGTGGCGTATTTTCAAATTTTTCTGGGGGGGGTCCTCAGTAGTTGGAACAAATTGTAGAAAATCTTCGTGTAATTCATAGGATCTTAAATCGATATACCGAATGCAAATAGACACTTGTTCGAGACCGGCTATATCTGCAGTTTCATCGACAAGAACTGTAAAACATTTCGCTTCATTTACTCTAGCTACTATTTTATTGAGTAAAATTGTATTGCATGAATCAATTATAGCATTTTGACTAATAGGACTTGTATATTTTATAGTACCAGAACTTTCAAGGTGTATTTTGAGCGAAGCATCACCGCGAGCTCTAAAGCGTAATAAATTACGAAAATTTCCGTCGTTAACATCATTATTATCAACGGTTAATTTTCCGAAATCACGGTGACCTCGTAGAGGTATATTTTGTCGACCGCATAAGATAATTGTTTCAATAACAGGTGAAATGTTTTTTCTGTTTTCAAAAATTTGTCGTGCCCGAGCAGTGTCTAATTGATTTTCAATAGATAAATGTACGTTTTTTTTTATATCTATGAAATGATCTGCATCAAAGACGGATTGTTTGTGATAATGAAGTGTTACATGATTTTTAAACGTTTCCATTGCATGTTTCCAATTTTGAAACGGTTTTCTAACCAAAGCGCCTAGTGTTTGAGAATTTATGCCAGCTCCTGATTTAGCAAACGCTACACAAAACGTACAAAATGCACCATCTAATTTTGCAGAGTACGCTAACCATGGAAAGGTATGCAACCATCTGTATTGAAATTTTAAATTTTTGGATCGCTTATCTTTACCACTAAATATAACAGTATTAGGGAATTCAAAAGTAGGTTCGGGCTTCCAAATTTTTTTAAGAACTTCTTCTTTCTCTACATCTGTTAACGAGCGGTTAAAATAAAATCCAATATCGAAATTGTTAAAATTATGTTCATTTTCTGTTTCAGTATTGTCAGATTTTTTTGACATTTTGATACGTTTGACATTATTATCTATATTTGGTGAAATTGGTCGTTTATTTGGAGAAGTTACGGAAACTGAAGATTTGTGATGGTCAAATTGTAGAACATTTGTATCATTTGATTTTTTAAAAAATTGGCTTAACGAAGTTTGCTGAGACATAATAAAAGCAATATATTGTGTACTTACTTAATATTGATCAAAATACAATAAACACTTGTTCACTGGTTCACACGTTACTCGTATAGTTGTTGAAGGCAAAATGAGACTAATAGAAAATGTGTAATATCTTATAAAAGCCACTAATTTATATTTTATTATACCTATCCATATATGGCTATTGGCTACACAAATATTGCTAATTGCTATACACACAAATCCATCCATAATCGTTTTTCTGTGTGATAAAGTTTATATTTCAAAGATACGGGTACTTGATACCTATTAATTTTATCGGTTTATCGCACTTCGTATAAGGTCGTTACATAGAAAAACTGTCGTCAGAATAACATTACTATAAATGTATAATACGTCTTATTACTTAAAACCATGCTATTATATTTTGTTCACGGGAAAAAACTATATCCGCGCGACCGAGCGTGCTTACATAAATCGGGTTCTGCAAATATGTAAGAATTTTAGTTTTTTTTTTTTATGAGAGGTTCTGGGGGGGGTCCAGTACCCCTGGACCCCCCCCGTAAATACGCCACTGTATGTAAGTACTAAAAACATAATAATAACGTTGTACAGCTTCTTTGCTTGCACACATCTAAATTGTGTTAGAACCGGAAGAATATTTTAATCATTCGTCATATTACGCTAGAGAATAATACGATGAAAGCATTAACAAAATTGTGTTTTAAGTGAGTACAAGAAAAAAGCTTATTACTTGATTAAAAATTATGATTTTTTTTTTTTCGATCTACAAAATACGACGCAAACGTATGATATATATATATCAGGAATATGTTATTTTATCAAATATGAGATACGATAAGATAAAACAAGATTTTATGCGCATAAGAACAACGTATTTACATTGAAGTAAAGGTGCAGACTGATGGAGTCTATGATAAAAAAAAAACAGTATTGCCCTCAAAATGCCTATTTACATGTTTTCTAGAGACCGACGAAATATTTCGAAAAAAAACCTTTTCTACAAGAGCATAATAATATTATGTATTCACAACATTCGAGAGGCCTTTCGGAGCAAGTATCACGTTTCTATGTATAAGTATTTCGGGGATATTACAATAATATTATTACCAAGACACGACAGACGTGAACAACCGAATCGCGGCAGACACAACCACCAGTAACCACCCCCGCCCTCGCCACCGACGCTGCTACCGCCGCCGCCGCCGCCGCCACCACCACCGCCGACAGTCGGACCACGTGCGCCTCACGACCGGACGAGACGAGTGTGGTGCGCGCCGCCGCTAGAAAAACGGATCGCCGCCGCCGCCATCCGCACCGGGGCTGAGCGCGGTGGGGGACGCCGCCGCCGCCGCCGCCACCACCGTTGCAACCGGTGCGGTGTGCGTCGTCGGTTCGCGCGCGCCAGTCGTAGTGTTACGCGCGCGACAGCGTCTACGCGTGTTTTGTGCATTATTTTTGTTTCTCCCGTGCCGGTGCGTGCGGCCGCGTAATCGATCGTTTCACGTTTGTTCACGTTCCCCGTGCTCGGCAGACGGACAGACCCGGTTCGTAGCCCAATCTCGCCATGATCGGCGTGTTCAGCACGGTCGTCAGCCAGTCCCGGCTCACCCGGATCAAGCTGGTGATCATCGACAACCCGGCGTTCCGCGTCCACTATCGGCTGACGTTCGCCATACTGCTGGCGTGCACCACGCTGGTGTGCAGCCGTCAGTACATCGGCGAGCACATCCGGTGCATCGCCACTGGCGTGCCCAACAACGTGGTCAACACGTACTGCTTCTTCACCGCAACGTACACGGTGCCGGACACCAACCACTCGGCCCACCCCGGCGTCGGCCCCGTCCACTGGGACTCGCGCACCGTCCGCCACTCGTACTACCAGTGGGTTCCGTTCGTGCTGTTCGGCCAGGCTCTGCTCTTCTACTTGCCGCATCTCATATGGCGCTCGTACGAGTCAGGAACCATCGCACTGCTCGTCAACGGGCTGCAGCGACTGTACCTCAGGGTGGAAGGAGACAAGGACGTGTCGGTGCCCGGTTCCAGGAGCATACCGTCCGAGGCGACTAGGTGGGCGAAAATGCGAGACGTCATGAACCACCTGGACACGGTCACCCGGTTTCGGTTGAACCGCAACTGGGCCGCGGTGCTCATCGGGTGCGAGGTGCTCAACCTGGTCAACGTCGTGTTCCAGATGAAGCTCATGGACAAGTTCCTGGGCGGCCAGTTCTACGGATACGGGCTGCACGCGTTCGACGACGACAACGGCAACAGGCTGTTCGACCGGGTGTTTCCCAAGATGACCAAGTGCGACTTCCACAAGTTCGGGCCGTCCGGCACCATGCAGACGCACGACGCCATGTGCGTGATGGCGCTCAACATCATCAACGAGAAGATCTACGCCGTCCTGTGGTTCTGGTTCGTTCTCGTCCTGCTGCCCGTCAGCGTGTCCGCTCTCCTGTGGCGCGTCGCCCAGTACATGCTCCACTCGCGCGAGTCCTTCAACAGGTTGCTGCTGCGTGAGGCGTCCCCCGGTGCCCGCCTCGACCCCGTCGACCTGGCCGTCATCGCCAGGCAGACCACGTACTCCGACTGGCTGTTCATGTACTACCTGTCCGGCAACATGGACGGCATCGTCTTCCGGGACCTGTTGCACAGTTTCGCCACCGGACTCCGGAAGGAACCGGGTTCGCAGGACAGCGACGACGACGACACGGCGCCACTGGGCAAGGCAATCTGATCGACGCCACTGCCATCATCAACGCCGCCGCGCGCACGACTGCCGTTTATAATTTATTGCAATATTATTATGATCACTTATGCGCGCGACACGGTCCTGCAAAGGTCATGTCCAGTTCTGTGTTAGTAGACGTCCCTTAATTTTCTCAAAGAGCCAGTCGTGTGCGTGCGTGCGTTTCCCTTCTACCCCTCCCCCCTCCTGTGATCAACTCATCTTTTACTGTCACTCCCAGTCCCCCGCCCCACAACCCATCCTATAGTGACAAATTTATATTATATACTTCTTATAACTCAATAGAATGTAATATTATTATTTGTAATGACGCGGTGTCACGATCCCGCCAGTTTTCAATTTTTGTTTTTTTTTTTTTTTGTACGTTTGTAATTCCACCCAAACTCGCGTTGGATCCAAAAATCAAACCGACAAAAAGTCAATGTCGGAGAAAAAAAAGTAATAAAATAATAATGGCAATTAAATGTTTATCATTCGTGTACTTAATTTCTGTAATTGACGACCGATCGGAGGTACGCAGGTACACGCTTCGAAGGTCGTCGTCGTTACACATATTATATATTTATAGTTTATTAAATATTATATGCGTGTTGGCTATGCGTATATATTATTATTATTATTTGTACGATTATAATATAAAATGGACTTTATACTCATGATGATGATGATGACTTGTATATAATATATGTAAAACTCTGTACGTCTCACTATTATTATTATTATTTTTTTCTAATATATTTTTAAGTACATCAATTTTATTATAATATATTTTAGTTGAACGAGATTAAAGAAAAATTTATATCATAAAGAAAACATGACAATATTGATTTTGATCCAAATAATACGTTTTGTATTTTAATATTTTATAGATTATTACATTATATTATGTACACGTGCGTCATAAAACTTTTAATGGTTATTAATATGTTTTGTTCTCTACGAAAATTATGTATATTATAATAATTGCCGACATGGTTACACACATCACGTTTCGTGATAAGCCATTCCAATTATTTCTGTTTCGATACCGTCGTTGTACAGACTTGCACAATGTTTTAATATAATATCGATACGCAGTGTTGTCGAGTACACACGTCGTATATAACTGCGTAAATGCATGTATTGGAACGACTGGGATACGAATATTGTATACGACTCGAGTGGTAATGAATATTAGAACATAATATTATTTTTGTCCGCACGTTAGTGTACTAATAATAGTTATCTGTGTACAGTATTATTGTATTATCGTAAGGACGAATTATCACGAACGTTTTCGACTCATACTAATAATAAATAACCGCATCCGTATCCGTGTGACGATGATTATCGTTCGCCATTTTTTAGGCCCGACTTTGCAGAAAGACTTCGCCGTCCCCAAATGTTCAAGCCCGAGTTTTTCTAATACTAGTCTTAGAACCCGAAAACGTTTCTACTATAATTGACCTAAGTGTTTACCGTTGTACTTCTCATTCGAGATTATAAACACTTATTTTTTGTTTAATTGTTTAAAATAAGACATTCCTATAGCCTATGGATATTTATATCTATGGATAATACAGAAAAATAAGGTTAACCTAACCTAACCTAACGAGATGATTTCATACAAAAACTACAGCTGTGTTAAAGCGATTTACCTAAATTTTCAAATAAAATACATAAACATACAAAAAAAAACATTTTTGACATATTAAGGATACTATATGGAAAAAATGTTTTAAACATCGTTAGAGTGTCGAAATTAACACGGATTGCTTGTTTCCCTTTGACAATTAATACAATTTTGAAGTCATTCTCCAAGAACTTGATGTATCTTATATTTTATAATGTCGCTGGGTTAACCAATATCGAGCAAATACAAAACGTTAGCTCTAACAGCGCCTACCCGTTGAAAAGAGTGGGCAGAACCCAGATTTAAATAATAAAATAATACCCACCACTGTGCCCACTGTCCACTGCGACGATGACGATGACTACGATCATTGGGTACGACGATCCACAGTTGTGTAAACAAACACGCCAGCGATCGTATTATAATAATATATATTATCATTTTATGCCTAGTCACGACGATCGTTTCTCGTATTCGAAGCTGCTGGTTTAATATCAACGGATATAATAATAATAATAATAATAATAATATGATGATGATGTATTAGTCGCCAGTGGAATATATTATTATACGGGTCCAGCTCGACATTACAACGACGACAATTGTACGCCAGAAGAGAATCGCATCACGACGACGACATTATTTGAAAACCCACAATAACGGTTGACTAATGGTCCAGACTTCGAATGTGACACGACTTCTCGGTAGAATTTTTTTTTTATCTTCGCCCAATTCCTCCTCGTTCGGCCACAAAATAAACATCGTTTTCGCCGAACGGAAATCCGCGGGATATTTAGGTTTGTGATGACTACAATATTACAATGTGGATATTATATTAACACAATTTTGCATACAGATTATAACAGACCGTATTAATAGTCAAGTCTAATAGTCTAAAGATGCGCCTAAACTTAATTTTAATCGAGTGCAGTTTCCCAACGACATTCGGTAGCGCGGAGAACTTGTTATACGTATTTTCAATATTCTATTATTATGATCTATGACGGTGAGAATAAAACATTTACTTGATCGTAGTGTGTAAGCACCAAAAACGTTTTTATAGAATTCCTCAACGTAAATACAAAAAAGAATGTACTTATTCAATTTAAAAATGAAATAACTGTATTAATAGGTATGCATTGTGCATGTATATGATAAAATATATTCTACAATTTACTTAGGATACCTAGCAAGGACTGTAACCGAATCGAAAATAACCGGTTACTAATCTGGAACTTTGTTTTTTAATTATGAACAGGTGCATTAACCGAAACCATTTTTTCATACTTTTAAAAAACACAAACCAAAACCTAATTTTAAAGGTTTTTTTCGGTTAAACATTTTTATTTATGAGTAAATGCATCAAAGAAACTATACCATTTTTGCGAACATATTTTCATACAATTATCAATTTCCAACATGATGCATTATTTAATTTATATTTTTTCCATGAGAATTTTATAGCACTTATAATTACATATATATATCATAAATGTCATACATTTAAAATCATATAAATTTAGCTTATACTAAAAATCCATTGTTTTCTTTACGGGCTATTTTTCAGCGGGTTGAAAAGTGAATTATATATATATATATATATAATATATATATATACTTATATAATCAATAATATAATAATAATAATTCATTATAGCTTCTATAATATAACTACTCTGTCCAGTAAAAGACAATCCGGTATTCCGGTCCCATACAAATGGGATCGGCCCAGACCGAATATTTAAGACTATTTGTTCAACCAGATAAGGCTAATTCCAAAAAATATATTTTTCAATCTAGACCAATTTTAACCAAACTCACAATGTTATATAAGTCTGGATCAGCTCATCTAGGAATATATATTTTTTTAAAAATCCAACCCGGATCATAAATTGTTAATAAAAACCCGGACCAGGATAATCAATATAGTCAATTCACATTTAGAACCCAAACCGTCTAATGCCGATGCTTCTTCATTGAACGAAGACAATTAAATTAAATAACACTTAGTCATTCACATTTCACAGTTTTATCCAAAGTACATCGCACTATATTCAACAGCAAATGAATTTTATTTTTATAGATTCCTGTTTTGATGGAAAATAATATTTAATAACCAATAAGACATGACAGTGAAACGGCAATACTTTAGAAATACGAATACATATTATTTATAAATAATTGTAAATAAATTATTATTTCCAAGTACCTATATTAAAACCTAAACCTAACACATAAATGATCCATTATAGTATAGTAAAGTCCAGACCAGACCACACCAGTGGGCAGTGACATAAAAAACATATTATGATTGAACCAAACCTAAGCCAACATGTTATAACTGTTCTAGACCCGAACACCTAAGCCAAGAACTTTATACTTTAGAGCATTTTGACCGGATCAGACCTAACCCGGATCCCAGTTTCCAAAAATCAGATTTTCTGCACATCCCTGCTCGACACCCTGTCAGAAGGGTACACAGGATTTCGCGAACTTAAAATAAAAAGGATGTCGAAATTACTTTATAAATAGATGAACGCAGTTGCGTTGATGAAAGGAGGGCTAGAAGGGCTTAGATCTGGTCATCTGGGTATCATGAGGACCTCGAGTGTAGCCGTGTAGGTATTTGCGTATTTTGGCGTAATTGACAAATCAAATTTTCGTCTGCCCTCCGTGCAACTATATAAGTTTACAAGCTAATTTTTTTTTTCATTTTTGCCTCTGCATAATCTCCACCACTTCGTTTTATGCGCTGAAGACGGAAAGATATTTCTGCACATTACATAAAAACGATGTTGGTCAACTTTTTAGTTTTTGTTTTTTTTAGTGAAATTAGGTTTTTGTCCTAAATTAATCAGCAAGAAGTGGATCGATCACTTCGGTGTGTGACAATATATCGAATATCATCATAATATTATTATACTATGTACTATATAGGTACATTAATAATACCTATCAAGTATCATCATATACATTTTTTATACACTGTGCATATTTTATATAACAGGTATATTAACAGGCACCTAACACCTGTAGAGCGACTTCTATAAAAAAATAAATCGATTCGCAATGACCGGTGGCAATGAGGACGCAATCATAATATTATTATTTTATAATTCACTCGACCGATGTGAAACTGCTGTGTACTGGAATAAATAATAAAATGTTACATGTTTTTATACATATTATTATAAAATCCTTGTTCTATGGTTCCGGCTGCGCGAGATCCGTTGTAGATGAGATTTTGATAATATTCGTTTTCGACCATCTAACCTATATTTATTAATGTCATTCGTTTTCTTCTTTTCCTTCTTCGCGACATTTTATTTTATCTATTGATACATAACGAATAATGTATTCTCGAAGGTTTGTGCACCGCCATCATCTCTACGACTCCTTCCTTTCGTTTCTCTCGGTCTGTATAATATTTTATTCATATCTTTGTCCATAATATCCAACGCCATCGGGAGTGGTTAGAGCCTCCAGTTTTGAAATCAGCACCCTCATAATTCATATATGAGTTAATTTTTGTTCCTATCCGTTAAATTATTAAATTATAATACAATATAGAAAGACATTATTCGACATAATACAATTAATCAATGTGGGCGGGGGGTGGGGGGGGGACTTGCTCATGGTGCGATAATCCACAATCATTAGTCTTATTACATAAAGGTGGCCTCAGCACCCTCAGCTTTTTCGCTGGAATTGCACCCTCGGACGACTGTGCATGTCAATATTATTGTCGTGGACTGCATTGATTACATCGAGGATAATAATATGTGCTTATGGTCACATAATGTGCGATAACCGTTCGGCGCAGGATCGTGTTGCGTAAACAGTTTTCGCAACAGTTTAATA